GAGAGAGAGAGAGAGAGAGAGAGAGAGAGAGAGAGAGAGAGAGAGAGAGAGAGAGAGAGAGAGAGAGAGACGATTGTCATGCACATGTTGGTTAGTGGACACTATTTTGCAGTTGAAGCCGCTACAGGTCATCTAGTACAGACATGCACCCATGGCTGAGCAGACACTAAGCACAAACATAGCAGCAGCAATGGGCCTTGCTGGTGGAATCGCAACCGGACTGATGCTCGCCAGAATGGGTATGGAGCGGGGGAAAAAAAAACCAATGGGGCTTAGTACAGACATAGCAGAAAGTCATTGAGGGACCAAACTCTTATTATCTTGTGTCCAGTGTGCATTTTGCAGGTGGCACGAGCGAACATCAACAGCAGTGGGTTGACTGGTAGTACATGGAGGGAGTTTGAGCTAACAGTCATGGCATTTGGGACCTCGATCGAAGTGGAGTTCGTTCCTGGGAACACAGGGAATCCTCGTGTGGGTGCGATCCAGCTCCTTCCAATTGTGGCGACACCGGCACTGAAGTGGCTGACACCCAATTCAATCCTGCGTCTGGAGGTGCGGTTGAATTGCGGGGGCAATACAATTGCACGGAATGGCTCACAATTTTTGGCCTGGGAAAGTGATGACCGGTTTCTTTCATCCGCAAATGATACTTACTGTGAGAATGGGAATTCCACTGTCGATCCTTTGACAAAAGCATATGGGTGGATTCCACGAGAAGTGATGCAGAGTCGACGAATCGGGGTGAACACACTTGGGTATCAGATAACCTTATCGGAGCCGTCGTTGCAATACTTCATTGCCTTGTACTTTGGGCCACAAGTTGATGACAGTGATGCTCATGTCAGGGGCACAACTTCAGAGATCGTAGTGGACATTCCACGCTCTCATCGCCCTCCAATTTCTGGGGATACCTCCTCGTCACACTCCCTTACTGCTTGGCTACCAAAGGTTGCTGTTGGGGAGATCGGCGACCAAAGCCCCCTTATTGTCCTTCGCCAAAATGGATCATGGAATCCCTTTATCAGTGGGATGGAGGTGTATGCATTGCTAGCACGTGTTGGGGAGACGCTGCCCTCTGATGGTGAGTTTGCATTTGGTTTCATGTTTTTTTGTTTTTTTTTTTTGAAGAGCGCAAGGGTGAGATTGCCACAGCAATCCGTATCCTTTCTGAAGAAGTCCTCAAGCCCTAAACCAGCAAGTCGCACTTCTTTTTTTTTTGCTTTTTTTTTGGGGGGGGGGGGGGGGGGGGCGGACGGCCCGTGTTTATGCTAGAGGTGCTGATACCAGCGGCCACCACTAGCACTCTCGGGGGCTCCATCTATTGGTGGGGAGCAGCACCTGCTGGAAATCGGGTCCAGCGTCCCTGAACATTATATTTGTTTATTTGAACAGCCATGTGACTGTGATGACTGCAGGCTGCAGGGCCCACCCAGAATGAGAGACAATTGACACTCCGAGCTACTTTGCCGCCTAAGTCATTTGCCTACATGATAGCCTAAGTTGGGTGCTAGTGTACCCTCGTTGCATTGGTGCTCCGAAGAGAACCCTCTCACCCAGCCAGCAGTCTCATCTCATTGCTATCATCTACGGTGACCCGCAATTCATGTAGGCAGGCTATCCACCCATTCCACCAACCTCCACCCTTGGGAGTATGCTAAAAGACTAAAGCTACTTCGCTTCTATTTTGGCGGGGATCCTCTCCTTCGGGAGACCTGGTCCCGAGACCTGGTCCAGCATCCCTACAACTCTCTATTTCTTCTTCTTCTTCTTCTTCTTCTTCTTCTTCTTCTTCTTCTTCTTCTTCTTCTTCTTCTTCTTCTTCTTCTTCTTTAAACAGCCCGAATGGATGCTAGGGGTGTTGGTAAGAGCAGACACCTCTAGCATTCCTGGGGAGGCTCCATCTGTTGGTGGGGAGCAGCACCTGCTGGAAATCGGGTCCAGCGTCCCTGAACGTTGTATCATTGTATCTGTTTACTTGAACAGTCATGTAATTGTGATGGTAGATGTCTGCAGTGCTCAACTACCAAGTACTAGAGTAAGGGAGGTAGACCTTATGTTATTGCCTGATTGATTGGCCTACCTAACAGCCTACATTGAGTCTAAATTTAGCTGTAGTATAGACAAATCTCACATGTTCTCCTGAGGGATGTAGAGACAGATCTCCCCACTCTCCAAAACAAGAGGCCTTTCCTGTTCCTACATTGGACTCGTGTGTATTGGCGCATTTGTAGTGTTGGACCCACTTGGGTCATGACATATTGTGGCTGCTAAAAGCCTAAAACCATTTGCTGTCCCTGCCGGAACCTTCGTCCTTTGTCTGTCTTGAAGCCAGGGTTCCATTCGTCCCTTGTCACCTTCTTGTAGTCTTGTATTTGGAGCATTTGTAGTATGGGACCCACTTGGGCTCTGACATATTGTGACTGCTAGAACCATTTGCTGCCCCTGCCCCAGCCGTCATCTTTTGTCGTCTTGAAGCCTGGGTTCTTCTTGCCAGTATCCATTGTCCAGACTCCTTCCGGCCCCCTCTCCCATGGGGAGATTCCCGTTTCTTTTTTTGACCTGAGTCACAGTCAGTGATGATGTCCGGGGGTGGATGGGGTGAGGGAGACCCAGGTGGGGGTTGAGGAGGGGGAGGGGGGATTGCCGCGCGAGGGTGGCAGAGAGGAGATGGCTGGGGCTGGGGTGGTGACTGGGGGGTTGGGGGCGGTGGCTGTGGCTGTGGCTGTCTGTTAGGGGAGCGGTGGGACAGGGGGGGACCAGATTAGTAGTCAGGTACTAGCACAAAGTTTGTGGGGAGGAAGGGGGCTTTGAAATCAGTAAGGGGCTTTCGTTGCCAGGATGGTTCCAATGTCCTCCATGGTTTCCATCGTATGTTGTGGGGAGCGGTGGGACAGGAGGGGACCAGATTAGTAGTCAGGTACTAGCACAAAGTTTGTCGGGAAGAAGGGGACTTTGAAATCAGTAAGGGGTTTTCGTTGCCAGGATGGTTCCAATGTCCTCCATGGTTTTCATCATATGTTGTGGGCAGCGTCCAACTCAGAAAACAGTTTGGCCGGGTCCTGCCATAGTTGATGGTAGGATTCCCGGATGGCTTCTTTGGCTGCGGGTTCCTTTTCCTCCCGATAATCCTTGATAAAGGCTTTCCAGGCCTCCTGGGTTCTTGTTCTATTCACATCTTCTATGGCTTGTTGTGCTTGCTGTAACCCAAATTGGTGGCTTTTCCTTTGAAAAGAACATCTAGCTCTCCAAACCAGCATGAGTACCTGCAGTCTCATATAAGAGAAGAGGTTGGTGGCACAAGTAGACCATTGTGCCATCAGGTGTCGGTTCTTGTCCAGCAACAGGAGGCCGATGTCCCACGGGATGTGGTAGCCTGTAAGGGAGTGGAAAGCTGCATCCCACCACCTCCACAATTGGGTGACCATCGGACACGCCTGCAGGCAATGCTCCAGTGTTGCCTGAGCCGGAGGCAATGAGCTGCCACAGTAAGTGCAAATGGGGGACAATAGCCCCTTCTCTTCAAGGTCTGTTCTTGATACTAGCCAGTCTGGAGTGGGCAAGCAGCGGTGGAGGATTTGCCATTGCAGGGCTCTGAGATTCGTAGGCATGATCTTGGAGTACTTGGCCCAAGGCAAACTCTCCATCAACTGCGAGTCCATAGGTGAGTCATGCGCCCATTTGTTAGATAGCGTGTGGTCGATTGCCAGTAGTGGGCTGGAGGCTTTGTATCGCCCTTTGACAGAATAATCCCATATGTGCATTGGTTTCGGCCTGGGCCACTACCATTCCCCTGGGTCGAAAGGTAGTCTGGCAAGTGGCGCTGTGGGCTCGTATACAAGGAAGCCTTCCTGGTGGTCCCCTACCACACATATGCAGATGAGGCCCGCTCAACTTTCATTGCCATCCAAGTCTTCGTTTCGTGCAAGTTTGGAAAGTCTGGCTCCTGGCAGATCCGGCTCATAGGCCTCCAGTGAACACAACCCGTCTTTGTTTTGTTGGACTCTGAATATTGTGAGTGGGAGGGGCAGGTCTGCATGCCTAACCACCCAGTCATCCTGGCGAACTGTAGGGCCCTCCTTGAGGGCTAGTGCTTTTTCGGAAGTACTGGTGGTTTAACAGACGGTGCTTGGGAATCCCACAGTCGCCGGTGGTAGTCCGGGGCTGGAGTTGGAGGACTGGAATGTGCTACAGCTGTAAATATTTCACAGAGTCGAGCCGCTAAATGGTATTGAAATTTGAAAACAAGAAACCAGAATGCAACTTCTTAAAAATCTGCAGCTATACACGTTTACACCGTTTAGCCAACTTTCAAGTCCACGGTCATGCAGCCCCCCACCTGCTTGACTTTGTTATGCCACCCTTGTCTTCTGATGCTGTCTCATCAGTAACCATCGTATATCCGTCATCATCCAGCGTTGCCCAAAGTAGACCTTGCATAAAGTGTCAAAAACTAGATCTCTTGGATTAGTTGAAAACTTGAAAAAGTTGACAAGTCAAGTGTTGTTGAAAAGGAATGCGGTGTTAGTGGAGTTCCACAAATTTCCACAAATTTCAAGCTATGCTCGCTAAAAGCCCCGCTACATCCGAGGCTGTTTTTTCCCGATCCAAACTGTGCTGTGTGCCAAAACAAAGAAGAGACCCGGCATGGGCGTAATGTGTTTTCCTTGTGGCTGCTGGTGTCTGCCGTTTTGGCCCGGTAGCCCAGAACCCTGAAAGGTGTGGCGAATGTAGCTAGTATCGACCCAGCTATTCTTTTTGCCTGGGGTGTGCAGTGGTGGTTTAAAGAACCAGTAAATGCCAGCTATCGGCCGCGGGCCCCTTTTAGAGGCCGTGGGCCGCCGTTGATTCATTTTATCTACGGTGCTCAGCCTCCTAAATTTCCAGAGAGGCAGAAAATGGGTTCTCCAGTTTACTGGGGCCATGTACTGGTGGTTTAAGAAAGCAGTGCAGAACCGGACTCAAGTTTCCCGCAATAGAATGGAGCCAGGACCGAAAACGACCTGCAGATTCCCCCCCCAAAAAGAAGCAACAAAGAAAAAGGAAAAAGAAGGGCATCTTCTCAGTATCATTCCAGTGTTAACGGATGTCCCGATGACACACAAAAATCGAGAAATGGTCCAAATCTTTTCTTTAAAAAAATAAAAATAAAAAATGAGCAACAAAGAAAAAAGAAAAAAGACGTGCTTCCTGGCCTCCTTTTGCTCATATATATAAATGAAATCTGGTTACCTTGAGGCTGCAGAGGCTGCATTGTGGACCCGTTCTTTTTTTTTCTTCTCTTTTAAAAAAAAATAAAGCAGGTCCTTATGGTCCTGGCTCCTTGTCCATTCAGGGCAGCCTCAGTCTGGTTCCACTCCATTGACAAGGCCAGAAATAGAATAGAGAGTTTGACCTATGCCACACTTCCTTCCATCTATGCTAAAGGACCCATGACCATAATTGATTTCTCCCATAAGGAGAATTGACTGTATGATAGCCTGTAGGAATGGATTCCTCCCAATCTCAGTCTGTGCAGAGAATGTCAGGGAAAAAAAAAACACATGAAAACAAAAGAAAAAAGAAAAAATGAACATTGTGCCCTGAGTGTATGCATGTTCACACGGGATCTGATTGTGCATGCTGGCCCATTTATTCCACCTCAGCTTCAGGCCATCGATTGTGCTATCTAACAGAGCCAGTTGTGAGAGAACACCCCTGACTTCTTCTTGAATAGCTGCAGCCGTGATCACGTCCACCCTTGAATCTTGACCCATTCACACCTGATGTCTGCTTCCGCCAAGTCTACGAGTTGTTGCCATGCAGCATCTTTGTCCGCTTCTTGTCCCTTGATCGTCCCGGAGCACCTTCCCTTTCAGATCGCTCACAGGGTGGCCTTCCTGATCATCAAGTATGAGATTCTCGCCACCCCTTGTAAATAGAAAGAAATTTTGATGGCTAGTACCGTTAATGGTTCAGGATGTCGGTTGGGGTGGGG